TACATCACTGATCCAACTCAGTGTTTCATACTTATTAAACTCTATTTGCACTTGCCCTATTTAAGTAGCACTGCTTTTGCTACTATACTTTAGTTTTGTCCTCTTGTTCCCTACATACACTTCATAGGGATGTCTCTAGTAATAGACTCAGTTGTCTATTCAAGTCTCAGTCTGAAGCCTAGCTTCAACCAGTATATGCTCTCAAACCACTGTTAGTTACAGCAGCTCAGTTTACCAGTCTAGTCTAAGTGTAGGACATTAGCGTGTATAAGTTCTAGCAACAGTTAACCAGTTGAACTCCTGATCCTCAGTCATTAGGTCCCTTAACATGATCCTCAGTCATTAGGTCCCTTAACAGTCTATGAACCATTTGTAGTGGTTCTGTACGTAGAACTTGTAGGTGCATTTACTATTCGTTCAACAAGATGAACTTGAATATACTTTTTTTTCTCTCTTCAAAATCCTGTATTAAGTGAATATTTAGTATGTTTGAAGTGATTTTATGTATTCTTTTTGTGATTAGAATCTACTTTCATGGCTTAAATTCTGTCTTGAAGACTACAAAAAGCCTAAGACAAATCTCAACAACAGAAATGTACTTGATTTCACTTAGAGCAAGTAGATTTTACTTGACCCAAGAACACAGTCTTGGGTGTCTCATGAGTGAAGTCACAGTTGTAAATACAGACAAGGAGTATTAAGTAAAGTTGGGATTTTGCTGATGGCCCATGATACTCCACACTACTCAACAAATACATTCAAGCACTCTTCTACCTGACGCACCGCGTTCCCATGCTTGTCCCTATAAAATGCAATAGAGTCTTCATCTTCTACGAATACACATTGCGTGAACGACCGATAAAGGGCATAGAACGTGTTCTGCATCCCAGCACCAAGCAGCTAGTCAGCAGGTGCATGGCCGATGCACTCGAGTACTAGTACGCACTGTCGAGTCATAGACGTAATGTTCTTTCAGCACGCCGCTGATGTACTTGGTGATCTCGGGTAGGTTATCTGTGGTGGAATTGATAAATTTGCATATGAAACGCTAGGATAAGCTATAGAAACGCGAAGGCGCTCACAGAATGGTGCGTATGAGAAGTAGTGATGAGCCACATGGTCATGCGATGCCTGTCAGTTGCTACCCTCAGAATGCATCCTGAATTGCATATCAAGTACGACGCACGTTGTGTAAGAAAAATCGCCCCATCCAGCCGAGAAGTGGGCGGTCAATGGTCGCAGCCGCCCCCCGAATCCACGTCCACTGCTCCTGGTGATAATGCGGGACCGTAGGATCTGAATGTTGCAGGAATGTCACCATGACTAGGGCGATTGATGTCGACGAGGGGTTAAAACATCGAGACAATTTCCAAACATACCGATCCTGTTGCGCCAAATTACAATGGTCAGTGCGTGCTTTACCACTCTAGAAAACAATGCGCACCAGTGATTGCACAACTGGACCAAGTTGATCATGATTCAATCAACGCAAGAGCTAGAACTTGTGTCTCACGCACCATGTAAGGAATGAAATAGTAGGCCATGACTGTCTTGAAACCGTGCACCGCCATGGCGTAGCACAATGCGAAGCACATCACAAGGATTCCAATGTCGGACAGTATGATCCCCGTGCCTGATAGATCATGTCTACTCTTCACTCTCATTCAAACTGATATAAACATACGCTCATGAGGGCGGAATATTGGGGCGTACGGAGAGAAATGGTTGGTCCCATTGGGATGTCGTCTCGAGCCCAGGAAGTTCGCGCTTCGGGAAGACAGTAAGTAAAGCGTAAGCTGTCGACTACTAACAGATGAATTGGGCGTACCCAAGATACATCCACCACCCACTGTCATGCTCAGTGTGAGAAGAACGAAAACACTCCAGTACGGGGCGAGCACTCACGTGAGCAGTACGGCAAAAAGTTTCAAGAAAGTAAAGACGGGCGTCTCGTCGAATATCTCTGAGTAGTCTATGCTGCTCGTTTGTGCCCGTGGTGGAAGATTATACTCGCTCCGCTCATATGGGACATAATTCTCATCTCGCTCGATAGACGCGACAGCGCGCTATAAATGTCTCATGAGGGAAATCCTCAGAACATTTGAGTAGAACTGACGTGGTGCGCGTTATGACTTGCTTTCCAAGCAAAGAACGGCGATAGGATGAACTAGAATGTAATAAGCACACGGCATCGATAGATGTTGGCGTAGATGATTGACGCACGGAGTGAAACAAGAAACCCAACGTGTCATTCACATATTGAGATTCGTACAATCCTTGATGACCGAGCTTGTTGAAGGCGTAAGCAAAGCCGCACGTACACACAGACGCATACAGTTGCACCTCGTGTCCTGATGACCAATCTCATTCTCGCTTCGATGTAAATTGTGTTTGAAAGCACTCACCAAGGAAGAAGAAGCTTGCAAATACAAGACCTTGCCACCACCAATACACGACCCACAAAGTTATCTTCATTAATTTCACTTCTCCGCCTACGATCAGAGAGATATAGTCGTCGACGATGCATTCGATCGCGGAGGCAAAACAGAAGAGTATAATGCAGCAGCCAATGTCTCGAACACAGTAGTACGTCGAGGTCAATAAGTTCTTGCGGAGAAGATGTTTTGGCACCGCATCGTAGATCTCCTTTAAGGTGATCGGAGGAGGAGCAAACGGCTTGCCCAGTCTGTCGACGAGGGCCAATCATGTCGGATGTAAATTGCATCGTGTATGCCCTAGACGAATGCGACTTTACATACCTCCCTTCGTATTCAGGACCATTGGTGAACATTCCACTGATCACAGGCTGTTGATGAATGCGCCGATTGGGGATCACGGCTCGTTGGAGAACAGGAACTGTGGTAAGATATAGATAATCCCGAGCAGTTTCTGCTGACTTATCACTACGTGACTCGCCGTGACTGTCAAAGGGGACAATTGGATTAAAAGGGGGATACCGTTCATGGGCAGACCATCCCCACTCCCCGGAATGGGGACCCATTGAGGGCCGCATGATCATCCCACTGCTATAATTGTATCTCAAAGATAGATCTCGCGCGCTCCATCACGGAGGAAGAGAATATATTAGCAAAAATGCTACAGATACTAATACGGAGTAATCCGTAAAGTCAGAAGCTTCAACCTTTTGTCAGCCTCTGTGAAATTCACTAGACCTCTTGATAAGTAGGAGCAGTCGTATTGCGGTCGTACAAGCATTTTTCGCACCCCAACGTCCTGATCCAGTAGTGGAGCGACCATTTCTGCTATGTCTCGACTGGTGGCTACCTGTGAAAGGCAGCGCGTCCTTCTCGCGCTCACTATTTGTTGACTCGTTTCCAAGTTGAAGGAGAACGGATGTCCATGTGAGGAGAGTTTCGGGCATGGTTGTCCCACGCACACACATTGCGTGATCATGTTGACGGTCGGGCTATGGAGGAAGATACAGCCTGAGGTCCGGAGAAACCCCAATCGATCAAGCTTTCCCAGTCGTTACGAGCAAATGGAATATTGTTCTCAGTCACCCAAACACACGACGGACCGTACGGTACCAAACACATACAGACGCACCGATGCCGCAATTGTGGAGTTTGAAAAAATCACGTGTTCACGTAATATGTGGCTGAAGGGATGTGACTGAAAGAATCTGCTGGTGGGATGAAGTCCCTCTCCTCCCGGAGATCGGATGGGCAGGAGCCTGCCTTTCCGGCCGTTCTCCACGATAGTCACGATAAGTCACAGTGTGACGATAGTAGGTGAGACTCCTCTAGGTACTTATATCTTATGTGCGGATGAAACGGACAGTAACAGTTAGATAAGACCAGTCACTTGTATAGTCGAGAGTGGGCCGAAATGGGGATGAAACCAAAAGATGGTGACAGTCCGGCAACAGAGTCCTCATGGCCGAGAACATTGAATTGTTCCAGGCAGTGGCAGGGCGTGGCAGGGCACGAAGGGAAATAGAGGATGCATTCATGAGATGCACAAGTTTTGACACATTGACAGTCATCATCAAAAGGTTTCTTCGTTTTCTCATACCAGTGTCATGGGAGGAAACCGCAGGAGGGGACTCATCAGCAAAACGGAATCAATCTGCTGATGGCGCCTGATTGGATCTGATTGAATCTGCAAATTTCAGGACCTGGGCCTGAAATGCACCTGGATAATCAGTGATGTTAGGGCTAGTGATTGTGACCCTTTGACCCGTTGCGAGGTCAACAGGGTCAAAGGGGGTCTGAGCTGGGTCTGACCCCGTCAATATTTAAGGGTCAATAGACAATGTGTGACGGCACAAGTCATATGACGAATTGTCTCATGAATATCATTGCAACGCGGAGACCGTTCGCAAGTAAACCGAGACCTTGGGGTCTGTCGCTGGTCACGCATTGACTCTAACTTCTTGACCCGGGTCAATGGGTCTGACCCCCATTGAATCCAGGCAGTGATGATATTGACCGGGTCTGACCCGGGCAGGTGAGTCTGCTGAACAGTGTTTATGCTGCTTCATTTGTCACTACTACATATTTAATTAAATGTTCAAAATCTGATAAAGAACATTCGACGGCAGCTTACTCTGCTACATCGATTACAACAAAACACCTGTCGCAAATGGTCCCGTCCTGTGTGCGGTGTGGGCTGCACTTCAGCCGCCCTTGCGCTTAGCTTTTGCCTTGCGGCCCCCGCCTGCTCTCGTTCGACGCATACTGTCTCGGCTCTACCACGGTTCACTACTTGGGACTTCTGTGCTGTGATGTGCAAGCTCTTGCGTCTGTATTCGGAAGTGTCGGAAGAGCTGGTACTAATAATCGGATGATCGAGGCGGTGGCTCTCCGCGCTCCCAGGCTATCGCATCCGTTGCGGTACGCGTGACAGTCCGCGTGTGTGGGGCCGTGGTTGGCCATGGGCCTCAACGGATCACCGCAGGCGTTCATCTCCTCCTGGTGAAGTGCAAAACATAGCGTAAATAAGATAAGGATAGCTGGATCGAACACTGCCCGTAGAGGAAGCTGACTTAGGAGGAGAGACAGCAGGCCGCCGTGACGCTGTGAGCACTGGGGGTAACCCCACGCTTGTTCGAACCTATTAGTACTGGATCTTTGCTACTGATTTCAGTTTGTGCTTCACGCATCACTCAAGGCGCCAGTACTGAATCAGAATCACTGACAGCACCAACGTCGCCGGGTGGATACCGATACCGATACTCTGATTCTCCTGAGCCTGGTCTGGCAGCTGCCGTACTTCAAGTTAGTGCTTCTATCAATACTGTGATGCAAGCACATCTGTCATCTATGGCCAACATATCAGAAAGAAGATGGCGTTGTTGTAACAAACAGCGCCACAGTCTTCGATACATCTATAAAAGGAGGAGGAGGATGAGGAAGAGCCTGAGGAAGATAGATTTTAGTGAAGACTTGTTGCGGTGAGTCTTGCAGAGCCGTTTCAAATCCTGCTCTCTAGTGCTACATCTCACGTTCGCAAAGCCAGTCCGGATCCAAGATGCCTGCCATCGCCCCACCATCTATCGAAGAGCTCATGGGCCCTTTTACAGTCTGCATAGATATCGCTATCCTGTACGTTCCTACTCTGTCCCTCCTACTTATCCTGCCTTACTCGCGATGCATTGATGCCAAGTCTGTATGGGATTATCACCGCACAGACATATTTTTTTTGGTGGAGATCACAGGACGACTCGAAATTACTTCGCTCCTTAGTCGCATCCGTATGGTAAGACCCTTGGCTTTAGTCGCGAAGCATTTTCCCCACCATACTGTGTTATTTTGAAGGTGTTTAGAGACTGTGCACACACTGTTTTGCATGGACATAAGTTATCACTACACGATCGTCGACTTTGGGAACATTGAAGGCGAATTTCAAATTTTCTGGTAAGCCGTGTTTTTGTCTTCTCATTTCCTGGTTTCACGTGTGAGTTTCGCTCTAGGAGTGCCGGGGTACGTTCAGACATTTTACGATCTTGAGTTATTTCGAAATAGTAAAGCATATTCGGCATGTAGGCTAAAATTCTCGTGGAGGTAAGTTTATTGTTATAGAATCGGTCCAATTGTGTACTTAATATTCGATTTCGAGCGCAGGTCCTCATCGTAGGCTTGGTTCAGAGGTGGGATCTTAACGTTTTCCCTGGCAGTGTCTCGTATTTAACTTGCTTAGCTTTTTGATTTGGCGTACCTGGATATGTGCGTAACCGCACAGTTTCATATGTACTAATTGTTTTCATATGTTTTTGCAGTGAGCAGAAGATCTATGGTGCTGATCCCCATACTGGTAAGTCTTGTTCCCGTAGTTGAGCCTATTTGAGTTTGAATATCGCAAAGTCTATCTTGCTCTTCATGCGCATCGGTGTGTGCGATTATTACTGACTTGGCCGCGAATCTCATGGTTCTTATTTAAGTGTTCGGGTTGGGTAAGAGTATAATCATAGCCGCGATCATGTTTCATGTTCTAATTTTATATTCTCATTTTTGTTGTAGCAACAGCGAGCTACCTGTATGTCACCTACCAGTCATATTCAAACTATTTTTCCAGCGTTTGACCTTATTTTCATTAGTTTAAAGCTTGGCACCTGGGCTGAGTTCAGAGAATTAAATGTAGCGTTGGTGTGTCGTATAATTGAATTTGATATCATAACGATTGCTGACAGCTGTCTCGTCTCTGCGGCAGATTGTAGCTACATTTTTTACAGGGTCTTCAGGGGTTCTAGACGCACTCATCGCTCTCAGCCAGATTTATTATCTCTGGACTAGCCGTACAGGCTACCTGGCGTGAGCAGTAACTGCATTTTTTTCTGGATTAGCATCTGAACTACCTTTCCTATTTATTAGAACAGATACTCTGGTTCGGAAGCTGATGGCTTACATTATCAACACTGGTGCTTTGACGATGTAAGTCGAGTTCGAGTCTACGTGTGTACAGCTCACATCCGCGGAGGTGTGTTACAATAGCAATCATTGTAACGGTATGAGCTCTTGTTGAAGTCGTGTGCTTCCTCTGCTTACGCATGTTGTATATAGTTTTGGGCACCAGCCTTGAAGAGTAGTCTGCTCTTCGCTGGATTGGTGGATGTTCAGAGCAAACGTACGCATTCTTCAGATCTAGCTGTTTTCTTCACTGACACGCTGCAAAAGTTTATGCGAACTCGCTGATCGCTATGTGTGGCGTCTTTCCTGTAGCTTGGCCTACATTATTGATGCTTGACCTTCTTCCAGGCTGAACGCACGACAGGACCTTGGCCTCAAAGCTGGACGACAACATTCTTCCAATCTCGTCGAGATCGGGCTTCATAACGTGAGCCGTGGATTGTCTAGATCAGTACGTGCAATCTTTTCTATTGGTTCGTGATAAGTCCCTTATTATCAATGATGTTGAATTAGCAAAACATTGAGATATTCCGTGATACGACAGAGATTACCGACCATGATTTAAGCAAGAGTAGCACGAGCGGAAAGGATTAGCATGGTGTACTGGATACTGTTATTGTAGCCTTGATAGTTTCAATTGGTCTTGATTTGACATGAATGAGATTTGCATTGTGCCTGGGGATAACATCAGTAAAATGTTGTTGATCTGAAACCACCTAAAACCACCTGAAACCAAGTAGTTCCAGGAATGCTAGGATATCAAGCAGTTCAGCATATTCTGTTGTGCACCAGGTGATACTCAGGTGTAATTCAGGTGTACTAGCATTCAGATATCATAGGTGCTTCAGGTATCAAATTCACACTTTCACAAGTCATATATATAGGATAAATGAAACATGAGCAAAAACAGGAGGTTCAAAAGGGCAACACTCAAGAGAATAGCAGAATAAGGTTATTGTCACAGATTTTCATAACATCTATCTTATCATAAGCGTCTAGATAATCTACATCATATCCAATTAGATAACTACCTAGATAAGGATAGTGTCATGCATAGTGACATGTGTGTGACTAGTCAGGTGCTTAGCTTATCAGAAGCATAGCTCATGGGCTATCATACATTCACATGGAGATTTCCCCATTAGTACTAGAAGCACACATGGCCATTCAGGTGATCATTACTGTAGAACTACTGATCAAACATGAGGACAGGGCAATGGTTTATGCGCTAGGTGTTACAGCTTTGAGGGAGGGGGTTCTTTTTCTTTCCTAACTATTCGTTGTTGACCCTGTAACTGTACAACTG